AGATTTATAATGTCTAGAAGTAAACTTTTGCACTTCAGATGATCAATCTGGCTTGGTAGATCAAAAGAAATTGGGAAATGTTTATTTTATTAAGGTTTTATTCAGTAATTTATTTAATCTCTATTTTTCGTATTTCTAAATAGAATGCACTCAATTATTAATTACTAAATTATTATTCTTTCAATGAAAATCTAGGGTCATTACAACCAAAGGCTTTTCTATCTTTTAATTAAATAAAAGCATTTTTTATATTTAATGTTGTTTTGGCATTAATTGTATAACTAACCTTTGAACATGTTTCTAGGTTAGTTGTTAAACACTGCAGAAATCAAATGATCTTGCAATTCTTCGAGACACACTAAGGATTTAAAAAAGCCTCGAAATGCTTTTTCTAAATAGTTCACAACATTCATTCAGACTTTCTATTCTGCAAGGTTAACCGTAGATGTTTTGTCCAAATTTAGCCTCAATATTAAGCACAGGGGCGGAAATTATGATTGAGTTGAGCTTCTGATACATTGTTGTGAATTGGCGCTATATAAATAAACTGAATTGAATTTAGTTGAATTAGAGCCACAATAACTTTTCTAACAAAAACAAGTTTATTTATTCCTCATGAAATAATTTAGTTTATATGTAGACAAATGAGATTCAAGACCTTTTTGAAAGATTTTTTATTTTAACTAATTTGAAATCCGAGTTAAAAAGGAGAAGCCTCGTTCTGTTTCTGTTTCTGATGCTTCTGCTTCTTTCAGAAAGCTGAGTAAGAATAAAGAGGGGTGTTGCTGGAAAAATAAACCTTAAAAAACCCTCAATTTTAAAATGGAAAGTATAGGCTGTTACTGAGACAGACATGTCATAAAGATAATGATGATGATGATGATGCAATGTGTTGAGACCTAGAGTGAAAACAGCAGAATAAGGCCAAAATGGGATAAGAAAATTACCGTCTTCTGCCTCCACCGTCTGTGTCCTTTTGCTCTGCAGGGAGACGATAGAGGGAGTGGTCAGCACTCTCCAATTTAGTTAATTTGGTGTCTTGTCTAAAAGTGTCTTTAGTTGGAACACTGTGAATCACTTAGTCTGCACAGAGTGACTCAAAACCACATGCTCAGACTGATGGTTGGATGCTGTTGATGAGACACAGATATAAAAGGTCCCCAAAAAACATTGTAACTGGAAATCTTTAATAGTTTGAATGGAAAAAAGGGAAGAATTATTTTTGTGTATAAAATAAGTTTCTGTTGATAGTGAAGCCAGTGTGTACGTTGTTG